GTGTGTGTGTGTGTGTGTGTGTGTGTGTGTGTGTGTGTAGTCACTGTGTAGTAACTAATGCTATCAATAAATTGGTAGTTATTGTGAAATGTTGCAAATTTGACTTTTTTCTCAACCATTAGGAGTTCATATAATGTGGGTCTTGAGGTGGATTTGTACAAATAAAATAAAATGAATCAAATTGATCTGTCTTATAGTCAAAAATAATTGGGATTTGGTCATTGTTTTCAGGGTTCTAACAACTCCTGTCGTTTATTGAATTGTATTCCCTCCTTTTTTCAATTCCCTTCATCTGTATGACTATCACTTTTCCAGTTTCCTGCTTCTTCAACTTTACCACTCCATCTGGGGTCCTGCTATCTCCCAACTACCCTCAGGAGTATGGGAACAACATGCACTGCGTGTGGCTCATCATCACCAACCCTGAGAGCAGAATCAATCTGGCCTTCAACGACCTCAGCATGGAAAAACAGTTTGACTTCCTCTCCATCAAGGATGGGGGAAAGGTTGTGCAAAATTATACGCTCTTGTCCTTAGCTACTTTAAATAGCTCTTCGTATGACTTCTGTTATTACCCTATGCATCTGTCAGCTGTGTTGTTATTAGGAAAAACACTTTATGTAATTATGTGTACAAACTCAACAACCTTTCTGCTGTATTTATTGGACATGCCAATCATTTTATCTGTTTACTTTACCATAGAGGCTGTGCCGTTCTGAAGTTTATTGCTCCCAGGACTGGAAATGATTGATTTCATAAGGGATTTTTTTTCGTTCTTTTTAGGCTGAATCTCCAATCCTGGGCACCTTCTCCGGTGATGCCTTGCCTCCTCCCATTACAACAAGTGGCCATGTGGCTCGCCTGGAGTTCCTGACTGACCATACATACACAGATCGAGGCTTTAACATCACTTTTACTAGTAAGTGCTGAGTGGTGCTTAACACATGATAAGGTGTATGTCATAAAAGCGCACCCTAACCTGGTTTCTGTAGCATTTGTGTAAATGTTTGTGCCTGAGAATGTCACTGACCTAATGAATCATCTCCCTTAGGTGCCATATCCTACTGAATTTAACTGTTTTTCATGTAATTCGTTTAACTCACTCCCCCAAAATGGAAAACCCCTCTCTCTTTAGTATTTAAATAGATACTTGACAAACAAATAAAGCACACATGTAGACCTAACATCCTTACCTGACATATTGCAGAAGCCTTCATTATATGCCCTTCTTGGTAACTGCAAGCTGTTGTGAGAATTCATTATGTTTTTTTTTCTCTCTGACTCAGTAAACACTGGGTGCATGCTGGTAAACCTATTTCATGGATATACAAAAATGTGATGGTTTGGCAGGATTACCATATTTGTTGTCTATGTGCTGGTGAGCAGTGAGCTTTAATGTTGCATTGGACCACATCCCTCGCTGCATGTCTGGGAGCAGAAAGCCCTGTCCCTATCACATCACACCTTTTATTTTTTATGTTTGAGGTTTTCTGCTGGATCTAGTGTATTTTATTAAAGGCATTTTACTTTGATCACAGCTTATAGTATATACAATTACTGTATATTCCTTGAGTATTTGCTTTAGCTGAAATGAAAGCTTTGTGCTTCCTGTATGCATCGACGTTATCAACCTGTTGCCTCAGTAAAAAAAAAATAAATAAAATAAAAATGTGGACAACACATGGTGGCTACTGTATTAATTAGCAAGCAATGTGAAGAAATAAATAACTAACACCATGCTGGGGAAAAATGTCAACAGAAGTTAATTGAAGTTGACGGTCTGTTCCTATGAACAGTCATCTAACTGCATGACAGCTTTTCAGAGGCGGCTGGGTTGAGCACACAACTTCCATCATTTTTGTTAATTAAGAACATGCCAAACTGTATTGAGGCAATTTCGGGCACACTAATAAATAAGATATTTGTGATGGATGAGGTGGTGGTGGCACTCTGTTTGGGTCCAATGGATAGAGAAGAGGAATTCATCAACACCTACATATGTCATTACATACTTGTGTGTATTAGAGTGAAAGAGAGACTAAATGAGAAAGTTAGTGGTGCAGATGATGTATTAGTTTACATGCCTTTTTCCAGGGTTATGACTCTCTCTTTTTAGCCGTTCTGTTTAGTCTCGGTTAAATTCTTTTCAGAGCTCCGATTGATAAAGTTCTAAAGACGTGACAGCATATCCTTGTTTGTTTACTCTACAAATGTTTGAGTGGTGTCACCTGAAACTAATGGTCACGTTGTGGCTGGCCACCTTCTAGAATTGCTGCAGCAGAGTGAATCAATGTAGTTTAGTGAAACAAATGTCTTATTGTCCCAAGATAACATTGCTAAATGCTTACTGAGGAGTGAAAAGAAAGAAAGAAAAGAAGGTGTCAAAAAAGAAAGTTTTGCCAACAAACTTGTTAATTGTTTTAGTATTGTGTACAGAACAAAAATAGAAACTTAACATATGGCTTAGAATTTGTAATTATTGGGTGATTTAATCAACAAAAATACTATTACTGTTACATCTTTTTTTAATTTATGCATTTTATACATGTCAACACCTCTGTATGTTTACCTGTACACTGACATTCAAAAATCCATAATTTTCACAAAAATGTGAAGTTCTAACACTTAATATAAGTGAGCATTGGGGACAAGGGTTACCAGTGTGACAAAACACCTCCCACTTATTCTCCTACTCGCTGAAAGGAGGATTCAGTCAGAGTCTCAACCCAATAAAAGCATTCATTTTTGCGACTGTTGCTGCAATACTGCAGAGTGGGTTGTGAGATGATTATTTAATTGTATTTTTAGTGTCCTGCAGGCTCTGAAATGTAAACTAAATTTGAAACAGAGTTTCTGAAAAAAAAGAAATCTGTGGCATTTCTCTATATATCCGTATATTTGCAAAATAGAGGAACATTTGTGTAATTTGAATAAAATCCATATAAGTTGACATGTATGGCATTTATTAATTTAATTTATTGGTCAGTCTTGGAACCAAGCCATTGGTTCAGATATGTTGACGACACCTGGGTTAAAATTAAAGYCCAGGAAGTCCAACATTTCACTGATCACATCAACTCTGTGGATGAATATATTAAGTTCACAYGAGRGGATGTAAAAAATGGCAGGTTGGYGTTCCTGGATTGCGATGTCTCGGTTTCGGATGGAGGACGGTTGGAAACTGGCGTATATCGTAAGCCCACCCACACAGACCAATATTTGCATTTTGACTCCCACCACCCACTGGAACACAAGTTARGAGTGATCAGGACTCTGTACCACAGAGCAGACAGCGTCCCTACAAACCCAGGAGCCAGGCAGAAAGAGAAATCACACACACGACAGGCCCTGGAGCAGTGTGGTTATCCTGACTGGGCTTTCCTGAAAGCAGACAGGAAACACAGACAGGATTCCATGCAACCTTCAGGTGAAAATGAAGACCCCAAACCCAGACCCAAACCAGTGGTTATTCCGTATGTTGTGGGTGTTTCGGAGAAACTGAGATGTTTATTTTCTAAGCATGATGTCCCAGTGGCTTTCAAACCCCAAAACACATTACGGCAAAGGCTGGTTCACCCCAAAGATCCAGTGCCCCATCACAAACAGAGCGATGTTGTATATGCTGTTAAGTACCAGGAGGACTGCGACCAGTTATACATCGGGGAAACAAAGCAGCTACTGTTCAAAAGAATGTCCCAACACAGACGAGCTACATCTAATGGCCAGAACTCTGCAGTTTTCACTCATTTACAGGCCAGCGGTCACTCTTTCAGAGATGAGGATGTTCTCATTCTTGATAGAGAGGAATGTTGGTTTGAGAGAGGAGTAAAATAAGCCATTTTTGTCAAGAAAGACTGTCCATCATTAAACAGAGGTGGAGGCCTCCGTTTTCAATTATCCCCCTCCTACAGTGCGGCCATTGCCAGTATCACTCCACCCCCTGTTGCCAATAGGTGTTAATTAGGTGTCAACAATAGCCATGTGATGTGAGTATCAGTCACATGGAAGCAGTGCTTAAAAGCCTGCATTTTGCCTGAAACTCTCAGACTGAAGAAGCCTCTTGGAGGAGAGACGAAACGTTTCATTAGAGAAGAACCCGTCCAGAGGACCTATACAATTTTTTTTTCTTTTTGATTCAGAAGGTAAAGTTTGTTCCAGTCAAATGGGCTGAATTCACCCCTTTTTAAACCAATGACTGAGGCATTTGGATGTAAGGGAAAGAAATGGAAAGTGAGGCATTCTAGATATGTTCCACTGTGAGGAGACCCAGAGGAAGACCCAGAACAGGACTTTGGCTGGCCTCGGAACACCTTAGGATTCACCAAAGAAGCTGGTCAGAGTCATTGGGGAAAATGCAGTCTGGGCCTCTGTTGCCTCCACTACCCCACCGGATAACCGGATGATAATGGATGTATGGATGGAAATGTAGCATATATGCCACACCGGACTATAAGCCGCACCCCCAACATGAAAAGAAAAATAGTACACCCAAAATTGTCGTCCAAAAAAGTGAATTCAACATCAAAACATAAAACACAAACCTTTAGGAATTAAAGTTCGGAGGAATATGGTTCATTTAACTGACCTTATTTTGGTCGTTTTCTTTAACAGTTTCTGGTCCAACAAAACGTCTCATTCATCGTCCTCC